GCAGATCCAAATACAGGACATGTAATAATTCAAAGTAAAGCTATTAGAAATCTTGAACAACTTAGTTTAAATAGATGGACTAATATATATATATATATATATACACACACACTAGTTTTCTACTCATGCGATGCATGGGTTACACTTTTTTGGAAGTGTTGTTAGTGTGTTCAATGTTATATGAATTTAACAATTCAAAGAAAATAAAGTTGTGTAATGTCGAGAAGTTTTTTCTAGGTAGTTTGTGTTTTGAATTATTTAGTTTGTATGGTTGGAATGCTATATTATTGGCTAAATGCAATGAAATAAAGCTGTAAATAGAGCTTCTTTTTTTTTTTTTTTACATTACAATAAATAATAATATGAATATAACTACTGTGTTTGCTTTATTTATCTATTAGAAGTGTGTAGAATTGAAAGCTAAAGAAAAAGTAAAATTTAATAGATTGCGCAGTGTTCTTTCATAAAAGTACAAAAGTTCATATATATTGACAATAAATGTACAAGAAAGATACAGCGACAGATCACAATGTTTACATTCTAAAGGATAAAGAAGAAAGAAAAAAAGCTTAGAGAACTCTCTCAACCTCTTAATCTCAAAAGTAGAGAGTTATTGTTGGTAGAGTTGTAGCTAGGAATTTTTCATTAAGGAACCGCACACGTGCATTCTTACTTGATTCGCCAACTACTAAAAAAGTAATGTAGATGATTTACATTCATGTTTTTTTCCAAGGTGGAGACATTGGTTTGGTTGTCAGTTTCATAACCTTCGCGAGCCTTCTTCGATTTCAAGTATGATTCAATAATTTCATCCGATGATTGTAAGAGAGATTTTTTTGCAATTATGGATTATCCAAAGACTAAATTGTTAAGCACATTATGTCTATGTCACTCAAATTAAAAAGTAATTAATTGATTTAGAATTTAATGACAAGAAAAATTTGGAAATAGTTAAAACTTACGCAACCTAACAAAAACTTTTCAAATCACCAAAAACACATCAAAACGCAATTTGCACTACTTGAAAAATTTTAAAATCTTTCATCAAATTATTAATATGCATCATAAAACTTATATGGCTACGAAAAAATAGGAAGAAAATAGGGATGGAGAAAGTAAAGTAGAGATTGTTGATCAATATATATTTACACAAACTACACAAAGGAGACCCCCAGAACGGACCTCTAATTTTTAGCAAGAAGGTTGATTTTCGTTATCACTTCCGCATAAATTTCTTCTACAGCTTTTGATGGAAAAAATGATAAGAAAAAAATCAATAAAATATACCTAAAGGTAGTATTAATCTAAATAACAAAGAAATTATAATAAAAATAAAAATTGCAGAGAGAAAGTGTAGAGGTAAAAAGAATCTTTGAAGCCGCGCGACTGATGTAAAAATGGAAATTTTTCTATGTATGTGACAATGAACAATAGTGTTGTATTACATTACAACATTCTTCATCCTTAGTATTGAAGAAATCGCTTATCTTTTCCAAGTCCACTCGTTAATTAATCAAGAATCTACTTAACAAACTAAAGAATCCCGATCAATTAATCCTTCAAAGATCCTTAATGGTAAAGCTCACTTTCTAAGTCGACGATCTTTCAACAAACAATCTATTTTCACAATAATTGTTTGGAAAAATGGAAGTTACATGTGAATCTATTTGAAAAACAAGAAACTTTTAGATAATAGAGGATTTTAAGGTCTCAATGTATTGGAATGAGAGAGGATTTCGACAAAAGAGAGAAGTTAAGATGTAAGGAAGCCCCTAATTCTTATCTCTGCTTTATACTTATTTAATATTTTATTATTATATAAAAGATATTTTTTGCACTTTCTTCTTTTCCAACACATAGGTACAATGCACATATGAAAGATACAGCTTTTGCTCTTCTTCCAACACAATCAAAAATAACACTTTAGTCAAATTTTCAGACAAATAATGAATGTTGGCCCACATTTGACAAAGTTGGAAAAGTCACTGACAGCTGCTTTTTTTTACTACACACAAACAACGACAGTGCACATCAGATGGCATGACTTCTTACACGTAAAATAATCAAATACAAACCAATTAAGTTATAGGGCACATATGAATGAGCTAATAAATAGTAATTAACCACTTACAGTGTGAAAATAAGGTTACACAAATGAATAACGAAGGAGGGTTTCATTCTTTTAAAGGAATGATAGTGGGTCGCACGTGCAAGGCACGTGCTATAGTATAGTTTAGTATGTAATATTGTAGAGTAGTATTGATTATTTTCTAGACATCAATAGTCAAATCATATTTTGTAATGTTGATAGTCAAATCTTATTTTGTAATGAAATTGTGCAAAGTTTACTTTGGACAAGTTAAAAAAGATAGAGCTATGATGGAGGAATCAACATGAAAAAAAATTATGTTAATGATTCATCATGAAATGTTAACTAATAGACTAAAGCAAATATTATAAAAAGCAAATGAAAGATGATTTATATGTTTCAGAAGCTGCACTCATTGTATCTTCATAATCAAGTTAGAAACTAAAGCATTATGAAGCTTATTATACATTGTTACTAAACTTAAACTTCATGGAAGAGTTTTCACACTAGTAGTGTTTAAAAACAGAACAAAGTTACTAGTCAAAAGCCTCACAAATTATTGTTACCAGTACTACCAAATAAAAAAAGTTTTGGAGGTGGTTGTAGTAGAATCATTTAGATGGAAAGGATAAAATGAGCAAATAAAACTTTTATGTTGTGGCATTGATGTTGTCTTCAAACTGGTATGACGATGATTAGATAAGTTTTCTTTTTGTTATGACTTGTTCATTTATTAAATGGTCCATTGTAATCATAAAAAGCTTCCTACATCATAAAAATATTTAAAAAGAATATTGTGAAATAAAAATATAGCAAAAAGAAATTTACATTATAATTAAGCAATCATGCTGTGATAGCTTACCAAATTGGATATCAACTTATGGATTAAATTAACGTCATATCCAATCTCATTAAGATTAGATCTCACTTCACTTACCTACCTAATATTGCATGCATAATATTGGTAAGAGTATAAATCAAATAAAAAAATTTAATGGATTTTGTGCGGCTAGACAGGTATTGACTAGTAATTAGGGTCGATTAAATTGTCCTTTTGAAGTCCATTCTAAAATAGAATACAAAAGCAGCAAATGGCATCATGGAAAAATAATATTATACAATAAACGTTAGTTAAAGAATTACCTCAATGTATTATTATGTTAAAATATAGAGTTTGGGCATCTTCCAAAGTAATCATCACTAAATTAGAAGGAAGTCTCTCGAAAGCAAAATATAATTTAAAAGAACATTGAAATATTTTAACAGAAAAGTCATTGGTGGTTTGAGTTATATCATGTTTATTTTATAGCTATAAACAAAAAAGAAGTTTTTCGTGAAGATATTTGGTTTCTCATTTATATTATGGTAGGCTTTTGGGAGAGTTCGTTCTAAATTTAGTGATAAATACTTTGAAAGAGGTTTAAGCACTATTGCTAATATTTGACTCCTTAGATGTATCTGCAGAAAAAAGTGGAGACACTAAGTGTTCGAATAAATAATTTTGCATATAGTTTATAAAATTACAAATCATAAAATTATTTACTCACTTGGAATAATTTTAGCTAGAAGGATGCCAGTCTTCAAATGACAATGATGTAGTATTGCATGCAATCCAAATGTAGGATATCAACATATAGGTTAATTATAAGTAATTAAATCATATTTTTGTTACAACCTATTTAGAATGAACAGAATTTACAAATTGGGTGCAATCTTGAAGTAAGAAGAACACAAGAAAATTATGAGTCAAAATCTCAATGAATCTAGCTATATAGTGTTCATACATAAGAGAACATAACAGATGTTCCATAATAAGCAAACACGAAAGCTCGAATGAAGATATAAAATTTATGTAAGAGTGAAACTTCCATCAGTGCGACACACTTTGTAAACCACGAACATTGGGATTTCATCATCCATAAGTTCAATACACATGTATCACCTATTTGAAACTGTTTCTCCCTCACATAATCCGCACAACCAACAGTGAAATGCCGCACATAACCATTGGTTCTTAGATTCGTTCGTACTGACCAATTATGATGTGAACTATCATGGATTTGAACACTCTAGACAAATTTTGGTAGATATAATCGAGCGAAGGCCCCAGGTACATACTACAAAATAGAATGACAAATCTATAAATTGTGAAATTTCGAATTAGATGAGAAAAACAAATATGAAAATGTTTCATACATGTAGTTTGAGAAAGATAAAGGTAGAAGAGATTCTAGTGAAAGAGGAGCTCAAAATTATTCTATGATCATCGCAAGTAGCCTCTAATGTTACTCGGAAAACAGGATTACCACTACGCGAAAGCTCTACCTCAAATCCCTCATATTCATACACTTCTACGCCTGGATGGTCAAATATCGAAACATCCGAAGTGGCATTTTCGATGTATTCAAAGACAATAATATAACCATCTTGCAAATTATGGTGGTCAAAAAATTGTGGCCATCCAGCAGCAAGATATATGTTATCATCAACTCTTTCGAGTTGTATGCTGCAGATAATTTCATCATAACCAATCAAATATACTGCATCAGTAAGGTCGTGTCCTAAGCGTTGCACAAAAGTTACCGGGATCAACTATAAAAAAAATATAACTCTCGTAAGGAATATTATTTACTCTTTATTTAGTTGTAAAACTTACAAAATAAATACTACGGCCCAATGAATAAATGCTAACAAAGAGATCATTTTAGAACTCACCAAATGATCATTATGGCCCAATGAACTTGTGATAATTGTAAAGAAACGGTATGGTAGATCAACCTTGTTTGACATAATATTTATACTACAGAGACAATTGATAAATATATACGTTAAAAGTTCAGCAATAATAGAAAGTCCTTATTTGTTCAAAGAAAAAACACAATAAAAGAGTCAATTATCAACAAAATTGAAATACAATATTTTATTGAACTTATGTGATGCCTTATCTTTTAGCATGCTATTGACTTGAAGATTGATCAATTTGACTAAAAAGTTTATTTTCGCCTTAACTTGGCTCTAGAATATCAAGATTTTTTTTACCAGTTCGTAATAACTATTGCATTGTCGAGTAATTGATGCTGTGTAGTTGTTTTGCCTTTCTGGATGGTAGTACATTATACTAATTCTATTAAAAGTTTTAAGTATTTATTTCAACCAAATAATATTTTTCTCCGCCTAAGGCTATCTTATTTATTTAACAATTTATTGTTAAAATGTTTTAAGGACTTCATTTCTATGATACTATTGTAATTATTCAATAGAAAATTTTTTGAATTTATTTGCTACATTTAAATAGGTCTTAAGGTGAATAATATCAATTTTTTTCTATTCTTCCAATGTGAAGGATGAAGAGAAAAAATGGAACATTTAGTCGAAAGA